CACAAACCGGGGAATTGGAGAATCGTATTTGATTATTCGGCGGAGTCTGGAACACCACCACTGAACGTCTGCATGTACTCTGGACAACCAAGTTTACTATCGCCTGTCGACGGTCATCTGGAGAAAACGCCGGAGGTCTATGAGCTTGATATTCTGCCATTTGGAGCTGCATCCTCATCTTTCAGTTCGAAAATTGCTTCGAGACAAACTACTTCCGACGACAACTGCAAATCGTTCAGCGGGACTGACTTTCAAGTAGCGTCAGTCGATGTCGCTCCTCAGGCTCTCAGGTGAGTCGATCAACTGTCCAGGTTGCTGAGACAAGTTGGTTTCCGTCTGTCCACATACGTCGCGGATAAGTAACCGCGACGAGGTCACATGACAAATACCAGCCAACGAGCTTGCTACCGACTTGATGTCCTTGAACTCATTACACCCTGACACGCACAGGCACTTGGAACTCCACTGGTGCATCAGGAGCGACAGTTGCAAGTTGAAAGTAGCTATGTCTGACCCTCCATTGACCAAGCAAGGTATTCACACCTGTATGACCTCGTCAATTGATCCCTTGGGCCACGTTGTGCCCCCGTTGTTGCCACCAAAACAATTCCTACTAGAACTCTGCTGACCACACCGTAGCTGGGATGAAGTAGTCAATCAAGACAGTGAAGAGCCTTGTAATAAATGGAGAAATGACATCCAAATTGTCGAGTAATTAGTTATCCCTAGATGTGTAAGGCCTAAATAGTTTGCTATCGACGATCAGTCGTTGCATGTTTTCTCTGACGCAGCCGAGGTCGGTTCTCGATTCGGTGCAGCAAGTTCATCGAAGTCTTATGATGGGAGAATCAAGACTAGTGCCTCTCAAGCCAGTGACCGTGTCCCGCGTCGAGCTTCAGGCTACTGTATCGGTGGTTAGACTAATTCGCCAGCTGGTGAAGCAACTATAAGCTTGGATCGACAACGTATAATTCTGGACTGGCTCAATGAATTTGCTGCACTAAATTTTTAACACAAGTTCGAGGCTTACAACTATTGTGGACAATGGGGTTAGTCCAATGCACGAAAATGCTAGCCCTCCTCAAAGGTGACATATTCCGACAAACCTAATCCTTGTCGACTTTACCTCATCTGGCGTCCACACGAAACGCTCTCAGATGTTGGAATGGTGGATGAAAGGT